GGCTGTGGCACAGGGTGGGTACCTGGCTTGGGACCTCTTGGGACATCAGGACTTCTTGGCCTCACTTTGGCAGATGATGATCGGACAGCAGTCCCTAGGCTGACTGGTTTCCATCATCCATCTGGTGCCAGCCACATTAGCTCCCAGCTCCTCTCAGAGATGAGCATCCGGCTGCCCAGGCAGAAGTGCTCTTGCCTGGCACTGTGCCAGCCCCACGCGCTCACCCTGGAAACCTTCAGCACCAGCCACTGGTGCCAGCTCTACCTGGGAGGGACTTTCCACCCCGCAGCCATCATCCCCATCCCGGCTCCTGAGTGGCTCCTCTGGCCAGGGACCTGCTCCTGGACCTGCCAGGACCTGGCAGTGGGCAGCCCGTTCACATTTCAGAGCATGGATGGCAGAGAAAGTGCCAGAGGACGGGCATGATATGATGGACCATGGGCACACGTGGCAGGTGACAGGCACAGCATATTGAAGAGGCACGTGTGGCCTGTGGCATCATCAGGACATGCTGGGATGCCCATGAGGCAGGCTGAGCCTGCAGAGCACCACTCACTGTGGCATGGACTTCGGCCATGTCCCACCCCATGGCTCTGTCCTTGTGCAAACCATCCTGATGATGATGGCAGCTGCCACTTGGCCAGGGGTCCTTGGTCAGGGGGACCTGGGCAACAGAGCCTTGTGCACGGTGGCTGTGCTGGGCCAATCCCACGCATGGCACAGGAGCTGTGTGCCCAGGAGCAGGGATCTCACCTGCTGGGATGGTGCTGGGAACCATAAACCACGGTGTCCTGGGTGCCATGGGGGATTCTGCATGGGTGCCCACCAGTCCCAGAGGCTGGCATACCTGAGGAGCAACCCCACCATTAGCAAGGGGAGACCTCCAAAATGAGGTGGTTGAGACAGCAGAGACAGCACTGGTGGCACATTAACCAGACACAAAGGCGGCCAAGAGCAGAGTCCAGGCTGGTGGGAGGAACACCGAGCCCCAGGGTCAGGGTCCATGGGGAC